ATGAAGCTTATTGGTATGTAAGCCTCAAGGGTGTCTTGTCAAACAATTCCATTTATGTATACTTGCATCATGTGACTCAGGCTCCTGCAGCAATATATTGTTTTCTATTGAGGCATAAAGAAGATTCATGTTCATAGCTTTATAAATAGCAAGTATTTGTTTCCACTATTACCTCTTCGATGGAAAATTCAACAGACAAAAACTTTCAAGGCTGCCTAGCATCTGCATCGCCTGAAAAAAATTAGCAGATATATCTTATTACAAAAGCCCATTTGTCCCACTGATAATTAAAAGTCCATCTTTGGAGCAGTTAAGGAAATTACAGTCACTTCATTCTCATGACTGTGCCAGTGGAAATGTGAATTGACTCATTTCTAATGAGCTGAAAAATGTTTTGACACTAGATACCTTGAAATTTTTTATTTTTTTAAACTCTAAAACATGTCTGAATGTAACAAGATATACACACAAAAAAGGATGCATTATTTGCTCTGATGACAAAAATAAAATTATTCTCCAGGCTAGTATTCCCTAACTGGTATTACTTTGTCAGGAAATTTTATCACCCATTTTCCTTATGAGATACAATTATTCTGATTGTAGCAAATACGTCTTTTTTGGAACTGAACTCTTAAAAAAAAACATATATACTCACTCAACAAATGTTACTTCAACTGGGCTCATAGATATGTTCAAAATTACTTCTGTTCTGCAATTTTTGCTGTAATCTGAAAGCCAGAATCCCCTTGTGTTTAAATTGTTTACTGAACTGCTATTCTAACAAAAGAAACTGCTACATGGTATATCAGCACTTCAAAAAGAGCTTTTGAAAGCATAAATGAAATATTCTGAATCTGTGAGGCAGCTTTAAATAACTTCCCAATATCCCAGCTGCAACTATCAAATTCTTCCCTTAAACAATATGACATTCAGCCCTGTCAAAATTGTCTCATACAGCCAATGTGTCTATAGAAATTACTATAATGCAGCATTTCCTCTAATGTAGGATAGATAAGTGAGCTGAAGTTGTTTCTTGGAACAAATATTTGAGCTGCTCATTATAATGAACCAAAGTTATTTATGAGTAATTTTAGTGCTATAAATGTCAATGAGTTGATGTCCATTTATTACTAGTTTATCTGAATAACTGCAACTATTCTTCGTTGATTCTTGAACAAGAAGCATAAGAAACAATCCCACAAGTTTTCGTGCACTACGTTACAATTATTACAAATTATTAAATTATTTTTAAAATCTCAATGATTTTATAAAACCAATTAAAAATCAATGGACACAAATAAATTCATGGAACAATACATTACTTGTAATGTGATATATGTACCTACATTCACTTATGTAAAAAGTCAATGGCTATGTTCCCATATCTTCAATCAAATATGCAACAGTTAGTATGTTAGTGAACAACTCAAGCCAGTCACGTGCTAGATGTCTTCTTGCTAAAATTACCACTTCCAGAGAACTGATTCACTGGTGTGTGTGTGCCTCAGGTTTGTAGCATGAAAACAACAATCATTGAGAAGAGAATCAAACCCTCTTCCCTCTTGTCTAATGACACAAATTTGAGCTGAGATTTACTTCTGACAGGAATCAGTAGTAGAAGACAGTAGTAGTTTTTACTCTTGTGAGGCTTGGGTGTTGGTATCTTTTTTTAGTTTTCCAGTCTAGCCTACAAAGTTACATAGTGCTGAGAGGTAGTCCTCAACTTATGACTACAACTGTGACAACTTCCATTGCTAAGCAATGCAGTTATTAAGCCATTGTGTAATCACCCTGATTTTAGGAGTCTTTTTGCAGTGGTCATTACATGAATCATGCAGTTAAATGAATCTGGCTTTCCCCATTGACTTTGTTGTCTGAAACCAGCTGGGAAAGTCACCAATGGTGATCACCTGACCCTGGCATGTTGTTATGGTCATAAGTTAGCCACCTTTTAAAATTTACTTCAGAGGGGTATGTGTAGAATGATAAGAAGCATCTTGGCATTGTAATACAAACTCAACCCCTTTGTACATGCCTTGTAGCATATGAACAAACAAAAGGGGTGGAATCATCAGCACAATACTACACAGCTGATTTCATCATTCTAATGAAAACAGCCAATTCTTGGGGATGCCCCAAGAATCAATAATACTCCTTTTCTTTTAGCCAGACTCACTCTTATTCTCTGAGCCCACATAACAGGAACAAAATGTTCAGGGAAGGGGGGCCACCTGCAGTTGCACCTCTAATAGGGTGTAATTTTTGTTTTTAAAATTTTGGTGGGCATGTACTATAACAGGTTATAATGCAGTATAATGCTTTAGTCTTTTTCCTCTTGGAATTCAGTGTAAGCAATGATCATATTGAAATGGAATTAGCACCTCTTTACATTTGTTCAGGTAATACATAACTATGGGCAAATTAAAATATAATAAAAAGTTAGGGAACTTCATAAAGTAACTATTTGTCCTCTGCAATCGCAGAATACAGCCAGTTGCTAACAGAAGGACAATAGGACCATATATAAAATAATTTTATTAAATAGTAAACAATTAAAAGTATTATTTTATGAACTGTCAGTCACACAGTCAATATGCTGAAATAGGCAGCCTTGTGATTCAAATAAAATTAATTCCACTAAGTTTATTCTAGAGTTACATGTATTATTATACCTCACTAGTAGACTGTATCTTTTAAAGACCAGCACAAGTGTATTCAACAATTGGTATAAATCTTACAATGGCATCATGTGATAAGTTTACTGTAAAGAACAGCTCACTGTAACCTAGTTACTTAGGTAGCATAAAACAAGGATGTGCAACTGAAAAGAAAACCACAGTCTTCTAAGCAGAAATTTTAAACTGTGTCAGACTAAATTGGAATTCCCAGAACCAGCAACATTGAGAAGTCTGAGAACTGAAGTTCCTCGAATTCATGTAGAAGGTGCCCAGAAAGAAGTTATCTTCCAAACTGGTTTCCCTTTTTGGAGGATTTAGATCCATCACAGTATTAAAGGTGGTGCGAGAGAATAAGAGAATGTGTGTTCATCTCTTATTTCACCTTTATTATGTGCATTATAGATTGCAGTCTTACACACTTAAATCCATTAAATGTAACAGGATTTATTTCTGAGTCAGCATGAATAGGACTATGTTCTGGCATTATCCTATCTCCGAATGAATCAAATCACTTGCATGAATCACTCTTTCATTTTTAAATTTAAAAAATTATGTTTTTTTTAACAGAGCATTAAATCAAACTCAACTGCACCAATAAACCTTTTTAAAAAGGGTTTTTTTTTTAAAGAAAAGATTGGTTTAAATGCCCTTTAAGACTGTAGGCACCAAAAATGCCAGCACTCATAGTAGAGCATTTAGTATCCTTCACTAAAGCTAAATGTTAAAGGAAAGTTACTGAGAGTAGAGTGGTGGTCTCTCCTGAGGAAAGAGAATTGCAATGCCAGGGAGGAGGAAGAAGAATCAAAAGGAAGAAGAAATGAGAGCCCCTTTCAAACTTCAGTGCCCTTCAGCATTTTATTGATCCCTTCTCTTAAAGCCCTCTCTTTGTCACTTTTATATAAATCCTGCAAAATTTATTTGAAGAAGAGAAAGCTGTTTTGCTATTTCTTCCACACACCCTTTTTGCAGTTAACTTGCAGCAGCATAAAGCCCAGGCATGGATCACTATGGCTCCTCCAATCCTTTAAGACTACTAAATTATACTCAGTTTGTGCAGGGTAGAGAAGTTGAGATCAGATCTAATTCTGAGGATTCTTGCAAAGGACTCCAAAGGAAGAAAAAAAAGGGGTGTGAAAAACCCAGCTGAACAGGAAACCCGTCAGTTATTAAAAGATTACATCATCAGAGTTATTACCATTCTTTTCCACGTTCACGCTACAGAACATTATTTCATGTTCTCATACCTCAAGGCATTCCCCATCAGGGATTACCCAGTCTTCTATTACGGGCCAAGGGAACAAGTTCCACTCCAGTAATACCGCAGCCACACCAAACCAGCAAGCTCTCATGTCACAAAGCCTCAGGCTCTGCAAATCTGAAGAGCATTATCCCGTTTTGAACATTTGGTCATATGGCACCATCCGTCCTAATCAGCAGGTCACAAGAGCCGGTCTCACAAATTCGCCAGCATGTCACGCTAACCCGACACTTTCCGCCGCGAATAGTCCAAATTACTCTTCATGCCAACGCACCATCGGACAAATCTAGCAAAAGGAGAAACTTCTGATCTCAAAAGTCTTCCTCTCGTGGACTTCGGTCCCACCACCCCAAACACTACAAGCACTTAACTTAACCCAACAATAATATGAATGACACCCCACAATCATTCGAGCTTCCTAAGGACTTGGACTACACCCTTTGTAACTCTTAAGCCACGGCGGCCTTAGCCAAGCTCCAGCGGTTCAATTTTCACATATACATTTAGGAGAAGGCGTATAAAATGTACGGCATTGCATCTAAAAAACCTCCGACTCTTTATAATTTAGGGGATCCTCACCTCCCCACCCGGCCACGTTCAACGACACACTTAACCCTTCCCGCACTCCGAACGCAAGCGATTTCTCTTCACGGGGATGGGTAAGGCTTCCCCCCCCCACTCGTCCTTTGGGCCCATCCCCACCCACTCCCCATTACCCACGCACCCATCCACGTTTGCATGACCGCCGCCCACCTTTCCAATTGTCCCGCGAGCGCGCGCGTAGCCCGGGAGGGGGGGGGGTTGCAGGAGGGAACCCCGAAGGAGAAAAGCCACGAAGAGACAATTACGGCACTTCAGTCAAAGAAGTGCGCACAAAGCAAGGCGAAAGGAAAGCAACCCAAGGCGGGCACACAAAAGCCGGCGCACGCTTCCTTCCCTTTCCCCTAAGGCGGGGCGGCGCGTGTGTGTGTGTGTCTCTCTGTCTCTGTGTGTGTGTGTGTGTGTGTGTGAGAGAGAGAGAGAGTGTATGTATGTGTAAGGGGAGGGGGGTGTCGCCGCCTTACCTGAAACGCAGCAGGACTTGGTCTGCAGAGCCCCTTTCTCACCAACGCCCCCTCCCCTCCGTTTGCCTCCTCTCTCTCTCTCTTTCTCTCTGCAGGATCCTAAGGGCGGAGGCAGGAGGAGTCCCTCATGAAAAGCTCTCCAGGTCTCTTCGCTCGCTCACTTCCCGCCAGCTCCGGAGCTCGCTCTTAACGAACGCGAGGACCGAAAGACGGCGGAGGAGGGGGTGGGGGGGTGGGGGGAAGGAAACGGGTGGGCGTCAAAAGTCCCTGCCTCAGCAGTGAAGGACGCCGAGACGAAGAAGGCGGCCGCAGCTTTGTTCGGCGCGTGGGCAGCCTCGCGGTGCTCGTCCGGGGGAGATGGGTTCGGGCTCCCGTTTCCTCCCTTTGATTTTCTCCCCCAAATGCAAGTCTTAAGGAAAAGCCGCCTCAGTCGGTCTCCTCCCCTCCTTCCACTATCGCCGCCGCCGCCGCCGCCGCCGCCCCCCAGGCTCCTGACAGATGGCGCAACCGCAGCATCGCAGCTTTGGCGCTGCTCCTCGCTTAGCTCGGCGCGGCTGGAAGCCTGGACTCCGCTACTCTGCCCTGCCTTGCCTCCTCACCCCTGCGTCAGTTCCCAAAGCGGGGGAAAAGCGGCTCCGAGACAGACATCCCTAACCGGCCTATGGCGGAGCGACTTCGGGGGCCGATGGAAACGCTTCCGTCCTTATTGGCAGGCGGCCGCGTACGGGAAGGCGGGCATGTTAAAAAAAAAAGAAGTGGGGGGGGTCGTTTGAGCGTCACCATCAGCTGCAACAGCGGCGGGTTCCACGCGGTGGGCTGGGCTGCGCCTTTAATATCTCTCGCCGCGTTTCTTCCTAAAAGAGCTCTTTGAGGCGCCCCATTCAGCGGAAATGGAACTATTGCGGAGAATAGTCTTCTCTTTCTTGAACCGGAGTGCGGATTGCAAGATTGCAATGAATCATAACGTTTGGAAAGATCCAGTTTATGATTATCAGCCCCCCCTCCCTCCCTCCCAGCCTTCCTCTTTCGCATCCTATCGCGCGTAAAGTACAATGACTGCCGGCATGCCTAAGGAGGTTTCACTCGCTTCTTTGGGTTGAAGTCGGATGCCGCTTGGATGAGGTGGTTCTGCAAGCACTGTGGATCCGGCCGCAAGCAGTGCGGATGATTTTTGTAGCAGTTCAGTAGTGACCCTTAGGCGACTCTCATAACGGGAATAACTGGCTGATCAGAAAGCCGGAATATGGAAATTACCTTGCTGGACTAAAGTTTACATTTGTGATCCCAAAAGTGAGAGCTTAATGGACCACAAATGTGCTCTTTACCCCTCCTGCTTACTTTCATTTCTTCTCTCATTTGGGCGCTTCTTCAAATAAATCTCCCAAATAAAGCACTGGTCTGCAATCAAGGTTTCTATACAGGTATGTAGAGTCAGAGCATTCTGCCTGGGAAATTCTGGAAATTGAACCCCACCCATCTTTAAAAAGTTGCCAAATTTGAAACCAGCTGCTTAGAGGTCTTCTTTCCTTCCCTCCTCCCTAGACTTGCAAAGACTCCCCTCTTATAATTTGTGACTCCTGGTGGCATATAACAATTGAAAAAAAAATTTTTTTTAAATGACATAATCAACATACAATCAAGGCTGGCAATAATAACATTACAGAACAGGCAGGTTTACAAATAAACTTAGGGCAAGAAGCCCCGTTTTGCCTATTCATCCTGTCATAATAAAGATAAGACAAACTATTCTCATCGCTGAAAACTTCTCAAACTTGCAGGACCATTGTGATTGTGACTGAACTCATTTGACCTTGCTCCTTCCATAAGGAAGTGCAGAAATCAGCTTCTAGCTAATGCCCCCAATTCACCCCAATTCTCATTAATTCATGGTGAAGGGAAACAAAGTATGGCTTGAGTGGACATGGATGCCAAACCATGGTGGTACTCTGGCATAAGGCCTTAATTTTAAGAAACATGGCATACTGTGACAGGATTTTAAGAGAGAATGATCAAGAAGTTGGGACAAAGTAATCTGATTTAAAAAGGTAACCAGGAGCGGAAAATAGAAGTGAAAGAGCCAAAAGATATGGGACCACATGAAACCCAACAGGAGCAAGGAATGGAGGAGGCTCTGCAGTGTTGGAGGGAAGGAAGAGCTAATTCTGGAAAGATGCTGAGCAGAATATTATAGATTCATGATGGCGAACCTATGGCACGTGTTTAGTTTACATTATTGTCATTGCACCTCGTACAACAAAATTAAATACCATCTTCAGTGCACATTATGACTATGAAAATATACACAAACACACATCCTTCATATTCTATGCATTGAATTGAAAACCCCTGATATTGCATTAATATTGCACTGTACAGTAGAATTCAATAGAGTTACTGCCCTGGGATAGAAGCTGTTTCAGTCCAATTTATAACAAGGCTTGCAGACTATAGATGACCCTTGCCCCATAGGAGTCAATCAAGGAAAGAATCTAGAACACACATAGCCATCTTGGATAGGAAGTGGCACGCAGAGCCATCTCTCTAGGCACGCCAGCTGTTGCCTGTTGCTCTTCTGGGTTCTGGTGTACATGCATGCTGTCCAGAGCTGGTCTTCACACCTGCATGAGTGCCAGAAACTGGAAAACCAGGTGGCCAGTGCCCATGCTGTGTATTATGTGCATATTCTTTTTATTTTTTTATTTATTTTTGTCAATTGCTTACAAGATAATAGGTATAAGTAAAAACATAGTTATGAATACATGGATACATATAAGAAAAATAAAAATAAAAGAAACAATAGGACAGGGATGGTAGGCACGTTGGTGCGCTTATGTACGGCCTCTACAGACCTCTTAGGAAAGGGTGAGGTCAATAATAGACGGTCTAAGGTTAAAGTTTTTGGGGTTTGGGGAAGAAACCACAGAGCCAGGTAGAGTATTCCAGACATTGACCACTCTGTTGCTGAAGTCGTATTTCTTGCAATCAAGTTTGGTGCGATTAACCTTGAGTTTGTATCTATTGCTTGCTCTTGTGTTGTTATGGTTGAAGCTGAAGTATTCATTGACAGGTAGGACATTGCAATGTATGATTTTATATACTATACTTAGATTGGACCGAAGGCAGCGTAGTTCTAGGTTTTCTAGGTCTAGAATTTCAAGTCTGGTGGCATAAGGTATTCTGCAACAAGTAGAAGAATGGAGAACTCTTCTTGTGAAATATTTCTGGACTTTCTCAACTGTGTTAATATCAGATATATAATGTGGGTTCCAGACTGATGAGCTGTATTCGAGTATTGGTCTAGCAAATGTTTTGTATGGTATAGTTAGTAGTGTAATACTAACTGTAAGTGTAATACTGTTTGACCATTCTAATACATAGTCAAGGTCTTTTTGAAGGGTAGCAGTATTGTCTGTGGTGTTGAATAGCTTTACATCATCAGCGAAGAAAACGCAGTTGCTCTTAATATGATCACAGAGGTCATTTATATAGAGTATGAAGATAGATGGTCCTGGAACACTGCCTTGGGGGACGCCACATCTGGCTTGGGTGGTGTTCCTGGATTATTTCTGCAGAAGTTCTGGTATTTCTGTTTTATTTGAATCCATATGCAGGACTAGCACATTGTCATGGTTTGTATGTGTTAGTCATTTTAGATACTTATAGTTTTATAAGAATTTCTGCCCAATACTTTCTTATTAACTTTCCTCAGCTTTCCGCCATTCATTCTCATTGATTCTGGCATTATATCATACACACCCACATAAGAAATATGTTAATTCTTTTCAGCTTCTCAACATCATCTATGATTTAATAGGGCTATACCCATTTTGGGGGCATCTGTAGCCAGCTTTGGACATTGTGGTCTGATGCCATCATCTATGCCAAGGAACTGATCCAGTTCTGGTTTTGCTCAGTTGGTATGTTTCTAAAATCGTATTCAATGTGTTGCATTTCTCTGAAATGCTGCAGTACTACAGAGCTTGTGGGTGGTGTTTTCCCCTTGGGGAGAACTTTTGTCTCACTCTGCTTCCTGGCTTCAGCTGACACTGCAGTTTTGCTTACTGTATTTAAAGTGGGAGCATCACAAGTCCCCCTTTGCAGCATCTTCTGGCTTATTCATTTATTTATTTTGGTCCATGACCAGACAAAGACAGAGTTGCTGCTGCTTCCGCTTGGAAAGGCAGCAGGGAATAATCTGGACTTCTTTTTTTTTTTGACTCTTAGACCTTTGCAACTGTTTCCAAGTGCACATTTCTCCTGATGAAGGAAATTGGCCTGAAATTGACAAATAATTTGTCCTGTGTTTTTTTTAAAAAAGAGGGACGAGCAACCAGTTTGCAAAGTGTCATTCCATTTGAGGGTCCCCACTTCAGTTTTGTGTACAGAACAAGGTGCTAGCAACCCCCCCACCCCCTTTTGTGTGATGTGGCA